GTATTTTTTCAATTAAAAAATGTTTTTAAAACTGATATTTACTTACTATATTACTAAACCCTAAATTGGACGATCTACTCTATGTCCCCGGATTGCGTTCACAAGAGGAAAAAAGTTTTAAAGAATTACGAGTTAGGGTGGAACTATGTGCTGAAAGGGGTACTGGGTGAATCGAATAATCGAATAGTAGAAATTGGTTCGAATTAAGGAACCATTTTTATTCCTTTGACATTTTTTTGTAAAATTAAAAATAAAAAAGAAAAAAGTGCTTTGTTACTTTTGGTTTTTTTCGATTTTAAGAACTCAGCTTGATATTACACTGCCCTACAAAAAAACCTGGACATTTGAATATTTGTAAATTTACGCCAATGTTTAGTGTTATAACTTTTTTTACTTTTTTCTGTTTCCACATGTTATGGAATAAACTAATGTTTTCTGTTAATGAATACATTGATGATTTACTTTTTAGAACATTTTTTACAACAGTTAGACGAGTTGCAAGTAATCACAAAAAATTCAAGTGTCCGAGTTTTTTTGTTTGGCAGTGTATTAAAGTTTTAATTGTAGACTTAATCTGGAGACATACTGTAGACTCTCTGTAAACTATTTTCCAAAAAGAAGACTTAAATGAATGAATTTCAACTTCATTAAGGAATTGAAATTGAAAAAAAAGCGTAGTTGACGGATTTTTCTATAGATAACAAGAACCAGAACAATTTTGTTTACAATTGAATTTTAAATATGGAAATTATAAAACAAAAGTTCGAAAAAGTGCGTTTTTTACTACCCAAGTTTGAGCTAAGGAAGTATTGTAGTAAGGTCCATCCAGAGAACTGCTACTTTCATGTTTTCTCAACATTTCATTACCAATAGGTTTCTCATTTCCGTTATCTGTCGTCTGTCTGTCTGTCTATTTGTCTGTCGTCTGTGTTCATTTTTATTGAGCAGATAATCGCCGAAACTACTAAACCGATTGTTGTCAAATATTGTAAATACTTTAGGAATATCGTGTTCTAGATGGTAAAACACTAACTAAAATTTGTCTTATCTTCCCCACTAACAATTCAATGACATCACCTTAAAATGTGGCATGATAAACGCCATTAAATTTTATAAAATATTCTGCTCTTGTACTTGTGGTTTCAGACTCCTAAACCAATTTTTTACCCTTGGCTTCGAGATTTTCTCAAAAAAATCAAAATTGTATAACATTTTATACTTACTAATATAACAGGAATGTTCAACAATCGCTTAATTGTTCAGACGGTTGCAGCGTCATGCCAAAAACGCGAATATCACGAGATCGATTCCCTTATGGGTCACCATTTGATCTCTCACGATGATCGGTATTATCCATATTTTTTACTTCCCGAGTGTAACCTATGGAAGTATTGTAGTTGAGTTCATCCGGCGACTGGCTACTTTCATATTTTCTTGACGTTTCATGCCCCCTACAGTACGAAAAAAGGGGTCTACCTGTGTTTCTTAGTTATAATCTCAGAAACTACTGAACTGATGGTCATTAAATTTTATACGTATTTTAGGAGTATCATGTAGATGGTAAAACGGAAACCAAAATTTGTCTTATCGTCGTCACCAACAATTTGATGACGTCCCCCAAAATGTTTTTTTGTAACGGTTATTTAAATTTTATAAAACAATAGACCTTTGTGGGTTATAAATATGTTTTTATTTTGTTTATAAATATTAAATTTCTTTATTGTTTAATTCATTTTTTTTTCTTTAGACACATAATTATTATTAATGTTACACTGGCCTTCAAATTAATATAAGTGTAAAATGTTGATGATGTCATAACAAAATTTTATTATGGAAAACACACTTGAAACACACGCATCACATGCTTGTTAACCTGGAGTCCCAACGGTCCACACATAGCTTTGTTTTAATTTATAGAGGTTATAAAAAAATTCGCAAAATTGAATTCTTACTGTTTTCCGAAAAACCTGTATTTGTTTGACTGTACTTCAAGGGCTAGGAAAGTTCTATTAATAACTTCAGACCAATTTTTTTAAGAGATTATACTTACATTGTACAACAGTTTCTCCAGCAAGAAACTGGAGGAAACTAGGAATCTATCTCTGAAATTTGGAAACATGAAAGAATTTCAAGTTTACATTTTGGAACAATTCAATTTAAGAACAAATCGAAATAAAAACGTTTAAACCTTAGAAATTAATCGAATTTGAGAAGCGATAACATAATGATCGTATGAAAAAAAATGGTCGAAGGTTATTTCGACAGAACTTCCCTCGCTTTTGAAATACAATAAAACAATCCATCTTTTTCAAAAAATTATAGAATTTGATCAAGCGAATTTTATTTTTTTTATGAGAACTTGATAAGTTAGAATAAAGATATGTATGTAACGTTAAAGTTAATGTAAAGAAGCATGTTGGGCGTACGTTCCAAATGAGTTTTCCCTTAGCAAAATTTTGTAATGACGTCATCAACATTTTTGCAAATATACGCATATCATTTTGGATAGGTGCAGTGTAATGCAATGCAATTATAACAGTATTGTATTCCCAAATTTTTAGGAAAACGGAATGAGGCTTTCCCGATTTAATAAAAAAATAAGTTGACTCATTCATTAATTTTTATGAGTCACCCTGTATAAGAAATATAAAAACTTTTAATTTGTAAATCACAAGTACAGACTCATCATATTTTGCACATTTTAGATAGGATTTATCAGGCAAAATTTTGAGATGACGTCATCAATTTTCTGAAAGGGGATAAACGAATAAATTTTGCGATTTACCGTGATTACGATAACCTTAAAATATTTACAAAATTTCAAAGCATTCGGTTTTGCAGTTTCAAAGTTATATGGCAAAATATTGTTATTCAGTTTTGAATTTTCTCCAAAAATTCTGGATGTCTAGGTTGAAAATTCGCACTGATTTACACACCACAAATGCAGGAGCATCTTGTTTTATAAATTTAAAAAACTTTTTATTATAAAATTTAGAGATGACGTCATCCCATTGGTGGTGGGGATGATTAGCCAAATTCTAGTTAGCGTTTAACCATCTACATGATATTCCTAATATATTTACATACAAAATTTGACAACAATCGGTACAGTCGTTTTGGAGATTACTTGTCTAATAAAAATGGATACAGACAGACAGACAGACAGACGGAAACGGGAGACCACTTTTTCGTACTCTAGACACGTTGAAGTCGATTACTTACGCTCGGGAAGTAAAAAAGGAAGAAATTACTTGACACAGATCGATTAACAACATTACCTGGAATCATCGAATATAAGAGTCAAAGAAGAATTTTGAACGAATATGTAGACATGTAGGACATTGGGTATATGTCTTGTATTTTTAGAACGTGGTGGGCGAAAATCGTCGACCAATATTTTGTATGGTTTCGAAGTGGGGAATAAATGTTATAATATAACAGCGGACCAAGTGATCAAAAATATTCCCAAAATTTTTCCTTTTAAATAAAAAAAAAAAAATAGCTTTTCTAACGATTTCGCACTTGCTAAGTAACGTTAACGCGTCGATCGATTCATTTGTAATTTTGTAAGTAATAATTCGATTCAATGACCTTTAAGACTATGCAAACCAAATTGACAAATATAAACCTACCTTCGCTTGCCTTGCGTCCTTAATTTCATTGAATTTCATGGTCCATGTGGATGTTTTCTATATTTGTTCTGCTATCCGGCTCGAAGGACCAAAAATGTATTAATCAATGGTGATCAATGTACTCACAATGGACGCCACTCCAAATTAAAAGAAAAGTGTAGCACTTTGGTAAACTTGTATTTATTCCCCGATGTTTCTTTAACCACTAACTAGTATTTACAAAAATGTACGAAGAGATTGCTTTAAGATAGGGGGTGGAGTCTCTCTTCTTCGTAGGTGGTCTTATTGTGACCAAAAACAATTGAAATTCTCTAAATATTCTATTGGTAATCGAAGAGGGACCGGACCAATTAGATTTATAGTATAGAGAAAGTCCTAGAGTGTTCTCTTGGAAACGAACATTATTTTGTTGTGTAGTGGAATTACGCAGAATAGACTAGCAATTAAGAAAGGTTGAAGTGAATCTCTTTGAGGTTCTGAAACATGCCAAAATTTTCAAATTGAATTTTAGAAAAATTCAAAATAGGATAAACCAAGATAAAAAAAAAATCTAAGCGAAGTTAAAAAGCGATGATACGATGGTTGTATGAAACTAAAAAATTGGTCTTGAAAAGGGTCAGTTGACGTAAAATCGAGAACATTATTTGGAGACGTAGAATTAACGAAGAAAAATTCTGAACAAATATTTATACATTTAGAACAGTGCAGAAGAGCTGTGAAATTATCAAACGAGTCTGCGAAATAAATTCCAAATAAAAATTAAGGACTGGTAGGAGTTGGGAAGTTTTTGGTAGAAAATAGACACCGAAGTTTATTGATGGAAAAGTTGGTCAGAATTTTTTTTAGAATGCTTTATTTTGTAAGACTAGGGAGCAAAGGATGACTATAGAGGAATTTACAAAAATAGTATCTGAAGACCAAAAAATGAACTAGATCTAAATTTGGAATGAAAATTAACAAAAACAAAACAAGCAATAGTGGTAAAGAAACGCTGAAATAATAAAGAAGAAAATAAAATTAATGAAAAAATCGAGAATTTTTTACTTTTTCAAAACAAAATATTAGGAAGGGAGTGATTCTTCAGGTCCTAAAATAAAAAACTTTACGAATAGGTACTTAGAGTTTTCTATTCTATTTATATAAACGGAAGAATAGAAAAGCAGTCTGTTAACAGTTTTAAAACGTGGATTTCGGGCATCTAAGCTATACTCCAGTCGAAAAGTAAACCCTACAACTGATTCACTAACGCCATTTTTAGCAAGTGATTTATTTGATTAATGTTAGACAACAACTTAAGTATGTACTGTACTAAAATAAAAACAAGTGCCGATACCGAAAAAAATCCAAAATCATCGATGATATTATTGCTTAAGTCATGCCACCTAATATAGTGGCAATGGAATATGCAAGACGAACCAGCTGTAATGAGACCTTTAATAACAATAATAATTTATGACTGAGACTTATACCCCAACATATTCGTTCCGATTAACATGCAACATTCCTCCGCCTGTAATACTAACAGGTTCTTGAGCTTTCATCAACATGAAAAGAATATGTTTTCGAATTTTTAAATTAGTTGTACCTTCCCAGTTGATGTTATAAATTTCTTCACAGAGGTTTTCAGCCTGTACAAATCACTGTATATAACGATACCTCAGAATGGGAAAACTTACTTACTTCAATTTCTATATTGCTCGTTATAACAAAATATAAACCAACTTGGAACAACATGCCGCTTAGGTAACACACACTCTTTATAGAGTCACCTAAACTGGGCGACCTACAAAAAAATTAATGTTTAGTTTGAATGTGTTATTATTATTAATACCCACTCACTTAAACAATATTATATAACTATGCATAGAAGCACAAGCGACTGTAACCAAGTAGAGCATGATAAAATACGACGAAAATATTGTATTAATTTTCCCATGAATCCTACAAAGAAAATTTAATGTTTGCTCAAAAGCACGAATAGGATCAACCTCAATAAAAATTTATGGTGTTTGGTACAATCGATTATTTTCACCAAACCCTTCGTATCCGAACCCTCTCCTAATTTAACAGACTGTATAGTTTTCTGCAACAATAGAAACTGTATTCTCAGATCAGTACACATTAAAAGATAAAAGGAATCCAGCGATAGAAGAGCCCACATGATTTCCAACATTATTAGTACTTGCATGATGTAAATAACTGCTGTAAGTAGTTTATTATCTTCAGGGGTCCAGCACATAAGAGGAACTACTTTAGATCTATCAAACACTGTTGTGAGACAAAAAAGGATAACTGTAAACACTCCACCAGAAACGACAACCTTGATAATTCTTGTACATATGATCATTTGTCTTTCAAAACTTAATCCCATCTCGGTACTGATGAGATCATATTTCCAGAAATTCTCATCGCGATCTTTATTAACTTCTTTAATGAGTTTTCTGTGCATAAACATAACATACTTTCTCTGCAGAAGCTACAAAATAGAATTTTATTGGAAGTTAATTACTGGAAACGCAAACCCACATGTGCACAAGTTGTTATGGCCTCAAACACTTCAGCAATCATCAACACGTCTCTTTTTTCTTCGCGGAATTTTCGTATAATTAGATAGAGTAGCACAAAAGTCATGGGGAGGAAAACGCCTAGAGACAGTATTTTCCGGTATAACTTACTCGTGGAACTTAAGCCACTGCCTTCTATGAAACCAATGGGAAAACTTAGGTAGTTTTTACTCTTCGCTGACATCGTGATGTGAATACCTAATGGCGAAGAGTCGGTTTTAAAGCTAATCAGAAATGTCATATTTATTTCATACGTCAATTTTCGAAGAAATTCAGCAATTTGATATGTATGAGAACAAATTAACCTAATCGACGAGTAATAATCGAAGAAGTTTAATTGGAAAGGGTGCGCATACTTTACACATTTATTCATACAAATATTTGATGAATGTCCTAGAACTTAGCCGAAACTGGAAAAGTATTTCAAGTGTAATTAGTTTAAAGCAATTAGGTGAAATCGATGACGGATCTTTTTTACTTTTCTTTCCCAGCAGTCGTAGAAAATGGTTCATAATCCATTATTTATGGTAAAACGTTCGGCGCAATTTAACGCTATTCGGAAAAATAATGCCTACTCGGAAACAATTTTTTCTTGTGTTTATTCTAATGATCATAATGACGTAAAGATTGTACTCAGGTGATAACCGCACTCTGCTTCTTGAATAATTCAAAGTGAGCACTGAGGAACATTCCAAGAAATGCTGTAATGAGTGAGCTCGCTACAAATAATAAACAATATGAGAGAAACAGTTCGAAGTCAAATAAATATCATTTCCTGGAACGTTTTATCGTATTATGACATTTACTAACATTTACCTTTGTATTTTCTCGGTTCTCACAATGTTTCATCTGGCTGAAGTTTTGCTGATAATTTGCAAAGTCGAAAACAAAGAAAGTTTAGTTCGGTTTCGATAATTTCATGGATTTGCTTAGTGATTTTGTTGATTAGTGATGACTTACCCACGATAATAATTTGGGAGGAAATGCCACATCATAATTAAAGATAATTGAATACTTGGAAGCAGTTTTGTGCTAAGTTAAAAAAGCAAGTATCGAGTGTAAGCTCCAACAGTGTGAACCAGTTTCACGTTTTGTAAACGAAAATAAATAAATGAATATTGGGCTCGTCCACAGTTTGGTGGGTCAGAATACAATTAAGTTAAAACTAAAAAAAAGTTTTGATTGAGTTAAAGGTTTAGAATTTTTGCTAATTCTATGGTGTGTTCTTCATCGATCAAGTCCAAAGATGTCAAATATAAGACTAGATGCTGCAAGTGGCTACTTTCATGCTTTCTCACTGTTTCTTGACCCCTAGTGTACGAGAAAATAGGTCTCCCATTTCCTGTCTGGGGGGGCTGTCGTCTGTCTGTCGGCTGTCCGTGTCAATTTTAGACAGATAATCTCCGAAACTGCCGAACAGATTGTTGTCCAATTTTATATGTAGAAATACTAGGAATATGATCTAGATAGTCAATTAAAAATTCGTGTTATCATTCCCACCAACAACGTGATCTGGTCACCTCAAAATTTTGCATTGCGGATACTATTTAAATTATAAACACGTACAGTTTATGAATTCCCTGTAGTCATACAATTTAAGTTTGTAACTGTAAATCGTTAATAAAAATCTATTCATTTATCCCCTTTGAGAAAATTGATGACGTCATCTCAAAGTTATTCCTATCTGAAGTGTACAAAGTACTAGGAGTCAATATGTCTGGTACATATTTTTTAGAATTGCTTACAGGGGGGTGACCTAAAAAAATTTAGTGAACGTGGAAATTTATTTTGTCGTTTAAAAAGCGTCCTTGGTAAAATGTTGATGACGTCATCACAAAATTTTGTAATGGAAAAGCTCACTGTAAGCATACACATAGCTTCCTTCTTTACCTTTGTATTGACACTACAGACAAACATTTATTTTAACTTGTATGGTTTAACATTAGAAAATAATGTTCTAAAAATTATATTTTGTAATTTTTCGAAAAAAGTCGATATGTTGTATTGTATTTTAGGTGCGATGGAAGTTCTGACAAATAACCTCAGACCATTTTTTTGCTTTTGCTTCAATGTTACTAAATGAGGAAAATAATGGAACTTGGGAGACATGATACACAGAAAATCAGAGAGCCTTTTAAGCCGAATGTTTCTATAAATAATAATAAATATAGTTACGGATTTTTGAATATTTATTTTTGACAGAACTTTTGTCTTGTCAGTTTATCTCAATTTGAAACTTTGAGTTTAAAATGAAACAATCAAAAACAAACTTAAAAAACCCATAACTCCCTCTGATCGTGTTTTTATTGCTTTCTTGATATAAATTTAAATGGTGGTAAAAATCGTTGATATAACACACTAGAATAAAACATTCAGAAAAAAACTGTCGTTCTTTAGCCCGAAAATTAAAACATTCAGGAATAAAACACCTCTAGTTACTACTCGATGCGCAAATGTTTTTTGAGCATATGGCGTAGCTAACATTGTACATTCCACATCTGTCATTGTCAAACTCGTTCCATCACTTCTATCATTGCATCTGTCAGTATTGGAATTATCGATCTAACCTCAAATTATTGTTACGACTATAGCTACGACATACGTTCAGAAAACATTAGAGCATCGAGAAGTAACTAGAGGTGTTTTTTATTTGATCGCTTGTTATTTTAAAACTGAGAATAAGAACTTATGTATCAAAATTTCAGCTTTGTATTTCCCGAGCGTAAGGAAGTATAGTAATCGAGTCCATCGGGCCACTTACTAATTTCATGTTTTCTGGACGTTACATGACCTCTAGAATACGAAAAAAGTGGTGTCCCGTTTCCGTCTATATGTCTGTCTCTCTGTCTGTCTGGTATCTGGATCCCTTTTTATTAAACATGTAATCTCCGAAACTATTTTGTATGTATATTAGGAATATCATGTAGATGGTCAAATTCTAACTAAAAGTTGGCTAATCATTCCACCCCCAATGGAATGACGTCATCTCCCAAATTTATAATTATATATATTTTTTGTAATTTTATAAAATAAGGTTATCGTAATCGCGGTAAATCGTTGACCAAATTTATTCGTTTATCCCCTCCCAAAAAATTGATGACGTCATCTCAAAATTTTGCCGAATAAATCATCTCTGAAATATGTAAAATATTATGACTGCACACTTGTGGTTTACCAACGCATTCATAGTTTAAAAATTAATGAAAGAGTCAGTTTGTTTTATTGATTAAATCAGGAACTGCCAGCCGAATATCTATTAATCCCCCCTCAAAAAATTAATGACGTCATCTAAAAATTTTGCGGAATAAATCCTATCCAAAATGTGCAAAATATGGTACTTGTGATTTATCATTGCATTAAAACTTTTTAAATTTCTTATACAGGGTGGCTCACAAAAATTAAGGAATGAGTAAATTTATTTTACTGAAATGGGGAACGGTTCACACCATTTTCACGAAAATTTGGGAATACAATACTGTTATTTAGCTTCTTTATATATATTTATTTTAACGTTACATACATTTTAGCTTATAAGGATTCTCATAAAAAAAATAAAATTCGCATAGTCAAATTTTATAATTTTTCTAAAAAGTTGGGTTTGTTTTACTGTATTTCAGGGGTGAGGAAAGTTCTGTCGAAATAACATTAGACCAATATTTTAAATATACCTCTACGAGAACTATAAAATTTTATGGGAATTGGGGGATACACATTTTTTAGACGATTTGTTTTTTGAACTTAAACTACTTACTTTTTACAAAGAGATCGTAATTAAATTAATCTATATATCATTGTATTTACCTGAGTTGATTTTTCTGAGTTCAATATAGTAACTTAAAAATTTGACAGATGGCGTTTCTAAAACAAATAAAGGTTGTAAATATCTTCGGTAGTTATGTAAAGATGTAAAATGTTTGATCATTTAATTAAAATTTACAGTTTTAAGTCATTTAGATTTTTGTATTTAAGGAAACTCATGCGCAGTAGTGAGGTATTTATTTACATTATTTAAGGCCACCCAGTATAGTGGCAATCGTAAATCCCAAACGAAGTATCTAAAATACCATAATTAAATTTATTATTTAAACAAACATAGTAAATTTACTGTTAAATATTGTGGTCTATCGATGTGTAACATTCCTGCTCCTACCATATTTAAGGACTCCTGAGAATTCATTATCATGAAAAGAACTTGTTTGTTAACTTTGGAACTTTTACTTGCTTCCCATTTTGCTAGATAAAGTTCCATTGAAAAATTTTCAGCCTGAAAACAAAAACAAATAATACGTCAGCTACTTGTCACTATTTTTGTACTACCTCTAGTGCTATATTACTTGCAGGAATAAAATATAAAGCCACTTGAAACATCACTGTAAAAATGTACACCACACCTTTTAAAAGAGCATCAAAAGTTAACGACCTAAGAAACACATTCATATTTTTACTTTTAACAAAAAATAAAAAAGTATCTGACCTGTATAAAAGAAGATAACCCTGTATAGCAACAGCAGTAACTGTAATCATGTATTGTACAATAAAATATTCAGAAAACATTCGATTCAGTTTTCTGTGGAATCTAAAACACTCACAACGTAATTTCAAAACGTCACCAAAATTTTAATACCTCAGCAACCATCTGTGATGTTGCACACATTGTGTCAACTTTCGTAGACACTTTGCATCTTCTTCGACTCCAAAATGAATGGATTTTAACAGTTTGACCATTAATTTAAATTGTACTTGCAAATCCATACCCACCAAAAGGTAGAAACTGTCAGACGCCACCACGAAGTACAAAGTCTCAAATAGAATTAACACTTCAGAAATAAAAACAATTTCCGTTGACCATTTAAAATCAGGGATCCAACAAATCAAAGGTACTGACTTTGTGTTATCAAAGAAGGCAGTCACACACATGAGGGTGATAGTGCCTGTGGAGCAAAAAGCCAAAGCTTTGGTAATTTTTAAGCAAAAGTCCATTTTATTTCGAAGCTGTTTTTCCATCACGGGTCCAAAAATATCGTACGGCCATTGGCGTTTGCAGTCTTCTATGATCTCTTCTATCAGGCGTCCGTGCACAATAAACATAAATTTCCTGACGGTTAACTTAAAAAATTTAAAGGATGTTTGTTGTTTTTATTTTATTTTTTTATCTACCTGACCGTACGTCGACAGCGATTCAAA